TCCTCCAAGAGAATGGGACCAAAATACCATCATCATATCAGCGATCAAAGCTTGTTTTCACATTGAAGGGCTGGGCTGGGCAGTGAACCCGATTATCGCGTTAACGCATTAATTAAAGCTGACAATTATGCTCACTGGCTCTGAATACACATACAGTCAAATCATGGGTCACAGGAAAGGTGGGATGTTGATCAGCCTGCAAATCACCCACCCAAACAAGCAGTGGAGGAAGGCTTTGGCAGACTACGTTGGATGCAGCTTGTGGGAGAAGTAGACAAAAGCAAGACAAGAGATCAAATGTCATAGTGAAGTGGAGAGCTGCACACTGCATGCTGATTAGTATTGGGGAAGATGTCGATCTTAGGAACGTTGTTAAAATCGCAACATAGTTGCTTGGCCCCACAGGTTTTCTCAGGTAAACAGAAAGGGAGACAAGTGCTCCACGAGTAACCATGGCAACAGCTTCTGTGCGCTACACAGCTGTAGCCTATTTAACTTAAATTAAAATTATAGGCTACATAAGTTTACCTGATAGGCCTTCATCATTCAGTTTTGCGGGGATGCTCTGCCATGCAAATTCCCTCCTGCTGATGTCCTGATAACTATTTAGTAAACAGTACTAGATTCTGGAAACTCACAAACAGCGAGGATCAGTCTCTCTTCCATTGATTGTGCTGCGTGTCGCATACAAAAAGTTCAAGACAGTCAACTCCGGCAGCAGGGGGCGTGTGCATGTACAGGGACACTTGGTACTGAACATAGACAGTTTATGCTGCTCCCTGATAAAAGAAAAATGTTTCTGCTGATACCTGTTCAGGAAAAAAAAGAAAACTGGACTCTAACTTGTTTTAATAAGCCAGATAAAAGGTAATGCCCTAGCAGTGGCAAATAGCTTTGGTTTTATATTTGATTTGGTTACATTAATGTTAAGTTGAGATTTACAAGAAATATTTTATTGCTACAGTGTGAAGGGAGTACTGCTGGTAAAAGGCACCTTATTTATGTGTGCCGTATTTTTCAAAAATTTATATTTATTAGGGATCCAAGCAGCAAAGCCCTATTCTTTCTTTCTTTCTCACCGCTAAAAGTGTTTGGGCAGCAAAAACTGCTGGACGAAAACTCAAAATTGGCAGGTGGGTAGCAAATTCCACCTACTTCTCAGGCAAAAAAAATAGCACTCATATACCTCATGGCACTAAACCTATTTTTGCGAACTCGTCCCAGACGCTTTCGCTAATCGACCTGAAACTTTGGCAGGATCATCTACGGACGTCGCTGATCAAAAGTTATCAAAAGCGCTACCAAAATCAACACAGATATTCTCTGGATGGCCGATATCAAATGTAGCAAAGGGTTTTTAAATCGGTGAAACGGTGAGTCTGCAGCAAGTTATTATCGTTAATTAACCTAGATGTGAGAAAACATAGTCATAAACTGAAATAAAAATAAAAATGAGGCTTCACAAAAAAGGATAACTAAATAAAACTGTATTGTAGGTATGCAAAACTAACTAAAATGAAAGAGTAAATGTCCTTAGTTTTTGTTTGGTTATTTATTTATTTTATAGGACCTAAGCCTACATTTGGAGTGGATATGAAGCCGGGGGAACGGAGTCACTGTCTTAGTGGCTTTCGTTTCCTTGTTTTGTTCTGTTTTGATGGTCTGGCTTAAAGCTCGTCTGACTTAGAGCTCATCTTGCATGTGTAACTTGCCCCTAGTACATTGATTGTGAGCTCCCCTAGCACTGGGTAAACGTGTCTGCTGGTCATTATATTTCCTGCATGTCTGCTAGTGTGTGTTTTATGGGCTCATTGATATCTCAGCCACCCTGTCTCTTTGTGCTTCATATTGTTTTAATACCTATTTTTTGATTAAAAGGTTTAGATTTTAATATAACTGCTTTAGGGACCTGTTGTTTATGGCTGTAAAGGGGGCCTCCAAGGGGGGCCTACACTATCTTCCATTTTCTTAGCTGTCCATCAATTGTATCTTACCTCCATTTATTGTATTTCACCTATTTAACTAAGAATGATAGAGCTAGAGACTGATATAATGATAATTTCTTGGGACCACTGGGTAGTAGGATTAGGGTTGTTAGCTGTTAGGGTTTTCTGTTTAGGTTAGAAATTATACTGTAGATTGCGTGTGCTTCATTTATTTGTACTATTAGTACTATTGTACTATTTAGATAATGTGTCAGTACTTATATATATATAATGTGTGTGTGTGTATATATTTATATATGTGAAGGTGTATGAAGGTGTGTGGGAATAGCCTCTCACCAGTAGCTCAGCCAGTAAGTCATCTACTCTGGAGATCTGAAGTTCCAGGGTTCCCCAAATCCCCAGGTCAGGGGTGTTCAGATCATAGTGAGTTTTCTATTTTATTTGGGTCGAGTGACACTAATTTTTTCTGCCTAAAAGTGTTGTGTGCAGCTTAAACTTTAAAACTTGGAAATACAAAATGTCGCAGGTGGGTTGAACATTTCACCCAGTAGTCAGGTACATATATTGACACTCTGTTCTCAAGGTGATGCTGTAAAAATCAAGTTTGCGTCTCCCCAATTATCTCAAAATCCAAATTCTTTCATCACCTTAATCTCTTCTGCGTCTGTTCTTCTCCTCTGAAAATGTCAAATGTTGCATTTTTCGTGACTTGCTTGGATCCCGATAATTGCTGCTCGCAGCTATATTTTTTGTTGTTGTTGTTTTTCTATTTTTGTCTTTTTTACCACAGTCGCTTACAAAAGCCCAGTCGTGTGTTCCTCTAAAGTGTCCCATGCACTGCAGTTTGCCCTAAAATGCTATTGAATTATAGCTTATTCTCTGCCTCTTCCATTTTCCTTCTCTGTCAGCCTGAATGACAGTGTGGCTGTATGAACTGTAATTTTCCAGTGGCCAAAAATGGAGGCGTCCATCCGCTGCAGCAGCGGAGATTAAAAGATTAATAATTCAACCACAGGTCATGAATCAAGTTGTATTTTTTTATTTTTTTCTCCCCATTTCAAAGGAGTACTGTCACCTTCCACCGGCCCTGTTGCTTCTGGTCTGTATTCGGTTTTACGCAGCGAAGAAGAACTGACCATCTATAATGTTTTCATATGAAGTGTGAGGTCAGGAGAGCGCGGTATTTAATTATTGACGTAATTATGGCAGTCTAACAGAGTCACCACCGTTAACATGAACATGTAAGACACTTTGGTGAGTGTCAGGGTCAAGGTCAGTCTAATTCCTTTTCGAGTGATACAGTTAGGACCGAATTGAAAACTAATTGAATCATCCATAAATTATCATCTGTAATGGTAATTTGCTACCTTAACCAGACAAATTGAAACAGAATCGAACTAAAGTCTAGTCACTCTCAGCCTGTAGGGTACACCCATGTTTTGTCTACGAAAGCCCATCATTATTGCGGTCTCTGACACTGAAATCTCCCTTTCCTCCAAATTCTTACTGATGGCCATAACTATACAAGCCCTTTGTTTTCAAGTGTCTATTCATTTGAAGTTTGTGTCACTCCAGCCGCCCACTTGATTTTTACTGTATCCTCTGAGCAGGAGTATGAAGCTATAACCTCAAACCTTTCTCCCTCATCCCCCCTCCTCACTTTTTCTACTCATATTCACCACCTTCTCTCTTACTTCATACCCCCCTTTTCCTCTCACTCTATCTGTCATTGCAGTTGCTGGCTTCGCCTGGACACCTACTTCATTTGGAGTTTCATAGGACCAGCAACCTTGATAATTATGGTAAGCGTAACCCCCTTCTCACACACACACACACACCCTTCTGCTCATTAACCCTGCTTAGCCTGCGGGTCGTCGCTTAAATGGTCCACCGAGATCCCTTTTTCTAGCTCCTATCCTCCCTCTTTTCTCTGCCCTGTTGAGCATATATGCCACCGCCGGGCACGGAGCCGTCCAGAAAAACGAATGAGGGGTGTAGAGAATATATTGCAGTTTGTCACCCCGTTGCAGTCACCGGCTGAGACAATTTTGGGGGATGTGGGGAGGGGGAGAGTGAGAGAAAAGAGAGAAAGAGAGTGAACTCTGCTCAGTATGCAGTGTTGGAGTAATCCGCACGGCGATTATGATTGATTTTGTTCCTGTTCCGTACTCCACTACCTTTTTCCATCTGCTCCTCGCAGGCACACACGGACAGCACTGCTACACAAGCGTCGTGCAAGGAGAACACACACACTTTCTGTGTCTTTCCCAACTAGGACAGCCCTAATTTTCCATAACAGAAAAAAAACCCAGCTCTTTTATTGATCCAACTGCTTTCAAACTTGTGTCAGGCTGGTGTTTATTTAAGTATTTAAGCTAATGCCTAGCAGTAAATGTTGCTGTGGCGCAAAAGTTGTGCTTCTGATTTTCCAAGACACCAGTCAGCAATCATAATACATATTCAAGAATCAGTAAATACACTTATGAATATCCCTAACAACTAAAAAATAGTGACAATTTCTTGTCCCAAAGGACCCAAATTTGGAATTCCTCCTTAACACAGCTGCTACTGCCCAGCAATCATTCACAATGCACCTCTGTATTACTCATGACTCACTCATTTCTCTCTTACATTTACAAACAAGAATATCTATGTTGGAAAGATAGCTTGAACTCAGATCCAATTCTACCCTGGGAATTTGGTGAGACTTTGGGCAAAGATGCATTGCAGGCAGTTAAGAATAGTTACAGGGTTTTTTTATACTCACCTGATATTAGCTGAATGTAACATGTAAACAACAGTGATGTGAAAGCTTTCTAATTGTTGTAGTTTTCTGAGAAGTCACTCTGAAAGAGGCCCCTATGCCATGACTAGATTTGACCCATTTGCTACTTTTGTAATTACTGACTCACCGAGACAAAGAAAATAATGAGATACGACAGAGTGGGTCTGCTGAATCTAAGTTTCTTTGATATCCAGCAGTCAAACACAAGACCACTTTGTGTTTATCTCACTAATTTCAGTGTGTTTGGCAAACATACTGTAGGTGCAAAAGTTCAACTCACTGAGATGTGCTTGACTCCACTATGATTTGTTTTCAATTTTTCAAGTCTGTTGTTTCAATAAGAAATCTGGTGTAAAGAAAACAGTAGAGTACTCCAGGAGCACTTGCACAAAGCAGGAAGGTGAACTAAAAAGTGCCCTGTTTTTATGGCACGCAGGGCACATGAACGTGTTAATAAAATGACATCCCACCCATGAAAGGGTGTTAGCAGGGAGCATGATGTTAGAAATGCTGAAAGTTCTTCAAACATTTTACAAAAAATTTCAACAAATGCTTAATTTTTTGTTCTGGATGTAGAAACTGTAAAAGAAAACCAATGCAGCAGCAGTGGCAGTTATTCCCTGCAGTTGCCTCTAAGTGTGAATATGATGAGACAAGTGTGAATAAGTCAGATGGAAAGGCTCCCTCATACAAGTATGCAGCTGTCTTGTCTCACCGTTCCTTGTTTAGTCTGTTGTAGCACCATAGAGGTTTCATAGGATTTTGCGCTCTGTTTGGCAAAGTGGGAAACCACGTCTGGCTGCAGCGTTCCAGCTTTGTGCTACAAAGTGCTCTGATTTAAAATGAATATAATTGAAACAGGAAACATACAAGCTTCATTCCTCTCTCTCTCTCTCTCTCTCTCTCTCTCTCTCTCTTGCTGTCCCTCTGCCTCTGCGAATCTCTCAGCTCAACGTGATCTTCCTGGGCATTGCTCTCTACAAGATGTTCCATCACACAGCCATCTTGAAACCAGACTCTGGTTGCCTGGACAACATCAAGTAAGAGCATTCAGATCACACAGATATCCATTAAAGTTGTCTAGAAATAGGACTCCTTGTGATGTTTTGTTGAGTGTGATGGGCTCACTTCTACCAAATGCACTCTTTACAGCTGAATTGTATCTAGTACCACTCAGCAGAGCTGACTATTCCTCCCTTTTCCTTTAAGTTTAGTTTACCCAACCCCTGGTTAAAGAGCTACGTTTTAGGTGGCACTCTGTATTCAAGCTGTCGTTCCCGAGCAATTCTATGTGTCTTGCTTTGATATTTTGAAACCTCATTTAAAGCACTTAAGGTTGTGAACACCCAACCCAAGGGTCCAGCAGTCTGAGCCTGCAAGGTAAGCACCCCCCATTATGCTGAAAGGTTTTGTCAGGCAGGGTTAAAATCAAACAGGTATTCTGTTCCGCCTCCATCATTAGGTGAAGAACACTGTTGTCTGCGCGGGATAAGGCCAGGAGACAATCCGACAGACCTGACCTGGCGTTATCTTGGTGTCAACATGCCGCAGATGAATATTCATATTGTGTGTGTGTTTTATGTGTGTTGGAGTCTGCTTATCTGCTTATGCCTGGCTGCTTTCAGATAATGTGAAAGCTTAAGGGACAATAATGACAAATAAAACTCAGACGCAAACTTTCTGAAGTTTAAATACCTTTCTGTGCATTTACGCTACGGGTGAAATTAATTTAAGTTTTGCCAAGGCAATGGAAGTCAAGTTTCAGCTAGTAAAAACGTTCTTTTTAGATAAAAAAGCGTTACTTTAGGAAAGATATCTAATACATATAATATTCTTGTGGAACAATGAGAAAAGCAAATCTGTCTGTTTAAAATGACCATTTAAGATTTCAGTCCTGGTTGGCGACACCTGTAAATCCTGTAGTTTAATACTATGAGTCACAGAATTCTGGGAGCAGCAAAACAATCTAGTGTCATTTTAATTAAGAGGCAATTAACAAAGATATAAATTAAACTCTACAGATTTAACTTCATAGACTGATTCATCAGAATGCTTAGCTGTGGGAAAAAAAGTTTAAAAAGTTCTTTTAAGGTCCCTTTACCCTTTAGAATGACACAGCGTTTTCGGTCATTGTCTTTGACGTAAGCTCTAGCTACCTGGTGTCAGGGCAGACTCGTTCTACAGATGGTGTAAAGTTGTTTTGTTGCCTGTTTGCTATGATGGATAAGGGTCTCTGGTCTGTTTTTGCTGTCTGCCTCGCTTTTTTGAAGCCACTCTGGACACATTAGTCTGCTTTATGGCCGGCGTTGGCTGGCGTTTTGTTTTTTATTTTATTTTTTTTGTGGCATCACATCACTGGTTGTGTCTCAGCACAGTGGCCCCGTCTGCCCTTCTCCTCTCAGCACAGTGATACACACATAAAAAAACTATCTTGTGTGAGCATGATATAGTCTGCTTTAGCTGTGCCATGTCAAGACTGTAACCCACTGTGCCGGTGCATTTTTCTATCACACATTCACTACAGGATGTCCCAGAGCCAAACCATGGTGTTTAAGTGCTGCTTTGAACAGGGCCTGTACTCACATTACAGTTACCTCCTACGTGTAGTAGGAGAGCGACATTTAAAGAAACACAGAAGTTGCCATAATTTTATCCTCCAATGAACTGAGGCAACTGAGTTGCTGGATGCAATATCCTAGTTGTAGTTTTTACTAAGTGGAGCTATGCGTTATTAAATTAAAATGGTTACACTATTTTCTAGCCAGGTTGGCTAGCTAACAGAATGAACAGACAAAATGAATGCTAGCTGCTAATATTTGACCCGTTTAAAGTGAAGAAAGTCTCAAATTTGGAATATTATATGTGACAAAAGTCTTTTTAATAATGATACCATTTATCTCTTAATGGTGACGTAGGGTGGAAAGATTTTGAAATAAAATAAATAGCCAATAACGTTGCACTAAAGAACTAATAATATCAGACAGGTTAGCATAATTGGGTATTTCCTGCTCATTTCAAACTATATGAATACTAACACCCAATTTTCCATCAATGCATATGTAAGTAAAACAAAGTAATACCTAGAGCATATCATTGCCCTTCCTAAACTGTTTTAAGTTAGGTTAGAGCTCTGGATGCTTTGACTTCCTGTAAACGTAGTTGATTGCTTTTGATTGGACATCACAGTCCTACAGATGTTTCTTAGCAACCAATTTACACACTACAAAACTTTTTACCAGCTAAGGCACTCTTAAATTTTAATGGTGCGACCAAATGTAGTAAAGCACTGGTTTGAAATTAGCTTTTTGTTACCATGTACCAGAGGTGGAAAGAGTACAGAAATATTCTACTGAAGTAAAAGTACTGTTACTTTGAACTTTTTACTGAAGTGCAATTACTTGAATTAATTACTATGAAAATCTACTCAAGTAAAAGTATAAAGTGGCTCATTTAAAATGTACTCAGAGTAAAAGTTATAGTTTTTTTAACCTCCAAAAATAACATTTATATTGATTCAATATCTTATTTATAATTATTATAGGCCTACTTGTTATATTAAATTGCAGTCTTTTGCGATTTAATAAGGGAACAAAGCAATATCGTGCTTTTGATTTTAGTTTTTTACTTTGTTACAATTGGCGCAAAACAATTTTACAGACCTTTTATGTTAAAGATGTGGTATTATGCTCATTTTCAGGTTCAACATCTTATTTAGGGGTTGTACCAGAACAGGTTTACATGGTTTCATTTTCAAAAAACACCATATTTTTCTCATACTGCACATTGCTGCAGCTCCTCTTCTCACCCTGTGTGTTGTACGCTCCGCTCTTGAGCTACAGAGTGATGCATCTTACTTGTACAAAATCTTGGTTGGGAGTTGCACATGCGCAGTTCCCAGGTAAGGACTACTAGCCAATCAGAAGCAGAGAAGGGTGGGTCATAAGAAACAAGGTAGTGTGATCCAAATCAAAGCTTCAGACTGAGACCACAACCTAGCAGATGGTATAAGTTACACTCAAGTCCACAACCACACAACATCATTGTTCCACATCTTACCATCAGGAGTAAACTGAACTGTCGCCGGTGTTCTGACGATCTAACGTTATGCTGCCTTGCCTGACTCTACTCGGCTCTGCTCCGTTTTCCATTGCAGATCAGTAACCAGAGATAGTAAGTAGCTTGTCGTCATAGCAACGCCACACACAACTGCCGCGATGTAATGTTCAATGCGACACACACACCAGCGATCCACACAGCTTTCTCTTTTTTAAGTTAAAACATTTCAACATTACTCAGAATGTAAAGAAAGATAAGCGGTGTAGCATGGCTAAATTAGTTATGAATTGAATGAAACAAACTTCTTCAAACAAAGGACTTCTTCAGTTCTGAACTGAAGAAGTCCTTTGGATGAGGGACGAAACGTCTTCCAGTATCTTCATCCAAGTCCAGTTGCCCTTGATTTTAACCTTCGTTGGATAACTGGACTGTATATGAAGTCATATCACTAGGCTATTTACATTCAAACAAGTGGTAATTTTATTGGGACCAGCAAGTTATTGAAGCCAACCAAAATTGTCATTCACCTATCTTTTTGGCTAATTTGAGCAAAGCACCTTACCAAACTATGAAAACTTATTTTTAACTACCAATGGAATGGTGCAAGTATTATTTAACTGACCTCTACATCAGGGGTCCTCAACTACATTTGTTCAAGGGCACACATTTTTCTACACTGTGGGGACTGGACTGGATTCCTAAAAAACATAGGCATAAATCCATAATGATAAATCTACATAGGCCTACTAAACTAGAAAATGCTCTCAGACCGCAGGCAAGGAGGTAGTTCGAGGAGTGATGGTTAAACCTGTAATTGTAGCCTTAATGTGACTCTGATTGGCATGATATATTAATCACCCGGTTTCTACGCTGTTTTGCAGCTGCGCCGTTATTGTGCATGAGACGCCTGTAACGTTAGTTAGGCTACTGGTGGTAACAGGAGATGCCTTTTAATACCACAGGGCACAGAAGTCTGGGGCAGCTAAACTATTGTCAGGCCGTAATTGGTATTTTCCATAATTATGTGAGCAGTCATGATCTGACTTTATGCTGCACACAATACGAGTCTGCAAACAGCGGAAGTGAAAGGAATTGGTTGCCTGGCATAGAAGGTGGAGGTTTGCAGCCTGTCGCATGCAGCTCTTCATTTTTTTGCAACGACGGTGGAGCTAACGGGCCTGTGTGGAGCTAGCTAGCTTGCTTAGCTAGATGCATCTGTAATTCACGTTAAAGGGGACCTATTATGCTTTTTCATATTTTCTAGCGTTTCTATAATGTTACAGTGTCAGATGTTCATATTAAACATGACCAAAGTTTCAAATGATGAGGTAAAACTATTAAAAAGAAATCCCTGTGAGCCAAAACCTCAGATACGCCCTGATCGGAACTCTCTGTTTTGAACAGTTTTTTCTATTAATGGCTCGGTATGATGTCATTCCGGCATCTGCAGCAACCTGGTCAACATATTAGACAATGGCCAATCAGAAGACAGTGGACTTTGGGTGGGGCTGGGTCTCAAGCATTGACAGCTTGTTTCAGACAGATGCTGAGTGACAGAACTACAATACAGGGCTGCAGTATAATAGGTCCCCTTTGACTGTCATTTTAACCGTGATGATAATTTTGCCTGGCGAACAGTCTTAAAACTAAATGTACTCACCAGAAAAAGTGAACGGCCAACTCCTAATAAGCTTTTTCAACAGCGCTGGTTAAATTTACACAGCTGCTGTGGGTACGAGTCACTGTAGCCTGATTGACAGATCGCCATGGTAACAACTTGTCAATCCCACCCTGAAGCATACTCTGCTTTATGGTCTATTTTCCTCTAAATGGGACCATAATTTACTAAATGAACATCATGCTGTGTTGAAGAAGACTTTATTTTTTATTTATTGTAGAAACTAGTGATTGAGACCGTAAACTCATTTACCATTGTTTCTAATGGAACCGGACTTCTTTTTGCAACCAGAAGAGTCCCCCCTGC